GCTGTAAAATTATCAAAAGGCACATGCCTAAGGGGGAAAATGATTTTCTAAAGGCAGTAGGAGAGTTGCCTACATTTTTAGAGCAATATACATTTCCTTCCCTACCATACTTTGTCTGGATAATCCTTTACTGCCTGCTGAGACACCACCCCAAATCATACAGAACCTTTGCAAAGACATGGTATTGTGTCAAATGAGAGTCAGAACAGTGTGAGGAGAAATTAAATGAGATGTCATGATATGCTAGATTTGTCAAAATTTAAATAACATTATTCTTCTATTTACATTTTTTTAACTCAACATATTTAACAAATGTTATCTTTACAGAATAAACTTGAGGACTTTTTTCCATTTAAAAAAAGGTGGGGTGGGCGAGATGCCTCAGTGGACTAAAGTGACTGTTTAGGCAAGCTTAGACAAGCATAGGGAGCAGGGACCCATGTTCCATCCCAGGAATTACATACTGCGCCAGCCCTGCCACCAGGACAGGCTGAGCTGGACAGAGTCCAGGCATAATGGTGCAGGCCTGTAATCCCAGCACTGGGGAGACGGACAACAGGAGGATCTCCAGGAGTTCGATCTGCATAGTGAGACCCTGCAACCACCAAATACATTAAGAAAAGAAAATTTACAATCAGCTACAAACATACTTATTCATCAGAATTTAGCAACTCTTTGTCTGAATTCCCTTTGCCTAAGACAGCCACACACTCAGTAGGCACTTAGGTCTTTCTCTTCAGGGACTGGATGCTCATAGGAACGCCTCTACCATCCTATCTTCATATTCAATCTCCTGGGTACTGCTGCCTGCCACACAAGAGGACTCAGACTCTCGCTTCCGAATAAAGTAGCAAAATGCATATACAAGAAGATTTAAAATTGCAAGTATAGATTCAATTATTTCAATCTTTGAATTATTTCAGTCTTTCCCTGATTTGAAAACCGCACAATTCTTTGAGTATTTTTATTTATCATTTACATAAGAAAAATACAAACTATATTTTCAAAAAACTTTTTAGAGGAAGAAATTTCCTATCAAGCTCAAAGTTCATAAAAGCTCCTTTTCACTTTGACATACAAAAAGGGAATTTTCTTGGTCCTTAATCTTTTCTTCTTGATATGAATAATAATACAAAAAAATATTGGGTTACACTGTACCATAATGATATATAAATCTAGATCAAAATAAAACAAGTCAAAACAAAAGCTAAACATTGAATCTAACCTAAACAACTGAAAAGACTTCCAGAAATCATCAAACTTGAAGTTGGAAAAATCAACAATGGTCCCTGAAATTCTCAAAAGATATCTCTGAGTGTTTCATTATCAAAAACCAAAAGCCAAAGAAAGAACAAAGAAGCTAAACTGAGTCTTTTGAAAGGATAAAACAGAGTAGAAAAATTATCCTTCTCATGACTGATAGTCCTCCATTTATTTTCCTGACATTGTAAATATACTGCTTTCATTTCTTTTTAAGGAAGTAATTTAAATGTTCTTGAAATTAAAGGGGGATAAGTATAACATGCATATATTACGGTATTCTAAAAGCACTGTGTGCTTTATAGCATGTGCCTCTTGTCAACATGATTTGGTATTACAAGACAATATAGCTGGATGAAAACTGTACCTGGGAGAACACAGGAAGTGGAAGCTGTTATCCTGCACCACCAGTAGCTGCTCAAGAGCCGTCTGTTGCGAGTGAGAGTGACATCTCCAAGCCTCTCTTTCCTCACATGTATTACACAAACTCAAATATCTCTATTTCTATTTTTAAAGTTCTATAAGTACATAGGAAACCCAGAATTAATGAACAAACATAGCAAGGGCCTTTCTACATAGCAAATCATTTCTGCTTTTCACAATACATTCCAAAGCATCCCAACGCTGAGGGTCTCCTCAACATTTTCATGCAGTCTGTGTCTAGCTGAGCAGGGAGCAGTGGATACAGAAGCCATCCCAAAGCATCACGCTGGCCCTAAACAGTGTTCTTCACAGTGCTGTCTTATTTTCTGATCATCTTGAAGTATGTCATGTATCCTGAAATAAATTTTCCCCAAGCTAAAACCTAAGAACCCACAAAGTAAACACAGGTCCATATAAATATGGCCTTCATCACTGTCTGCACTTATGATCCCAGTTCCAGAAGTAAAAATAATCACTCTCTGGTGTCCAGTGTGAAGTAACAGCAGATATGTATAGGACGCTTCCTACAAGCTGAGCCAGCCAGAGTTCTTCCCAGAACCGTACCTATGTGCACTCATATACTCCCCACAACAGCCCACTGAGGCAGGCCAACACCCCAGTCAGGGAACCCATCCAAGCACATACAGCTGGTACGTGGCAGGGCCAAAATTCCAAGACTGCACAGTCTAGGCATAGCAAGACTTTAACGAGGGGTCAACGCAGAAAACTGGGGACTCAGCCCCATAGTGAACTTTTTTCATGGGAAACTGAAGATCACATGCCAGAGATAAATACTGCAATGGCTGTTTCTCATAAGAATGATAATGAATCAAGTTAAAGAGTTACTATTGCATGCTGAAAAATCCAAAGGTAACAAATACAAAATGAAAATGTGTATCCATTCCCTGTGATATCCAGAGCTTCAAGATTGGCCTTAATAGTAAAACCTTCCAAGGTGAAAGAGGGACAAGAAAAGGAATGCCAATGGATGCCGGGTGCCATGTACGGAAGCCTTTTGACAGAAGCCAGACTGCGTGAACCAAATGCAGCTCAGTGACTTCCTGGCTTCTGCTTGGGCCCTTGTTCCTACCATGGAGACCCCTATGGCCACCAAGAGGCAGGACAACATTGATGATTTGTCATTGGCCACTCCTGCAAGCCACGCAGCCACACCCAGCCCCTGCATCAGCACCAGACTCTCTTCTCTCTTCAGCTAGGTTATCTAGAACACATTCCAATTCCATTGACATATTTTCAATTTAATGTTGAGTGTTAGGCTCTGATTTTGGTTTTAGCTTTTGTGTATGAGTGGACATGTTCATGACATTAAGTTGTAATTTTTTAAAGGACCCTAATGAAGACTAGATTTCTCTGAATGGAAGTTATTAAGATGCTCATATGGTGGAACTTGTCTCATATTTAGTTTTCCAGAAAATCACAGAAGTTTGCAAATAAGCAAGTTTTTATCCATTGTCTTTCTAGATGCAAGAAACATCATAAAAGTTACTCAGAAATCTAATATTGGGCCCAAGGAGATAACTCAGTAGAATAAGTGCTTGCCTGGCAAGTGTAGGGTCCTGAGTTCAATCCTCGGTACTGTAAAATAATAATAATAATAATAATAATAATATTTATCTAAATATTAAAATTAAAGAGAACTGAGATTAATTTCAAAGTAAATATTTTTATTACAATTATTTGTTTCTAAGTAAATCATCAGTTCCATTCCAATTATATAAAAGGAATTGATTTTTCTGGATACATAAATGACATTTTGAAATATTTGAAGGAAAGAAAGAACTCTTAAATGACTTCGCCTCCTCATTTTGCCAGTTTAGACTTGTTTCTGCTCTATGTTCTCATATTGCTTTGTTGAACAAACTTTAATGTAACCGGGTAAGTTTTCACTTATTCTCTGTCAGGAGCCTAAACTACACCAGATAATACTTCCTAACTGGTTCTTTTGGAGATGATCCACAACACTTTAAAATGCTTTCTGAGCACTTGGCTTTGCTTTCACAATAAATGGTATTCTGAAGAGTTGGACTGCAAGGCTATTGAAATGTGGATGCTGGTAGATTATAAATCATCAGAAGATGAAATCTTCTACCACACGCAGTGAGTACAAAAAGACTAGGCTAAGCTACCAAATATTTGTTCTAGGAAGTTTCATAAAAAGCATGCTATTAAAATCTGAATATAATTTGAGGGTGTTATATAATCATACTCTGGCACAAAGGAAAAACTCTAAGGGGTATAAATTAAATTAGCATATAAATACAAAATTTGATCATGTACTGACACATTTTTCATGTTGGCATTTGGATGTTAGGTTTTGCTTTTGGATTTTGATTTTGTGTGTATATTTCATGTATTTTAAGCTAACAAATATTTGATTTATTATGCTAGTCACCTGAGAAGCATTGATTAATGGAAGGTGACAATAATATAAGAACTATGAGATAAGCACTACACTGCCATAGTCCCCAGCAGAAAGAGAAAACAAGTTGAGAAACCTTCCCAGAGACCAGAGGAGCAGAGCAGGAGGTCTTGAAACTAAGTCTGCAGCGAGCAAGGCCTGAGGCCCGCCTGCTCTCACTGTGAGCTCAGCCCTGCGAGAAACAATCTTTGTCCAAAAAGCCTGGCTCCTGCAGTGCGCGTCCCATGCCGCGCACATGTGCTGCGCCTGTCCTAGACGTTCCTACTGAATAGCAGACTTTCTAACCCATTTAAACTCATTCGCCAAGTCATTTTATTTTGGTATTAATGAGTTGGAAACAACTGGAATGCTATGAGGTGAAAATTTTGAAATCACAGATCTGTATTGAGAGGGGAGTGGAAAAAGTCCACTTCAATAATCCAGAGAACTGCAATGCTGGATTTTCTTTCATTTGGGGTATCTAGCACGAATTCCCTAAACACATCACTGCTTTGGGGCAAAGAAAAGTCCTATGCATGCATCGTATAATCTGTACAGATGACAACGATCATGAAGGATTATATCTTCAGTGGCCCAAAAATGGATGCTACTACAGAAGATTGATGTGTATTTCTTGCTAGGTTTTATTTCAAGTTTTACAAAAGGAAAAATTTCCACTCATACAGAAAGAAGGCAAATTCTGTGTAAAAACTGCTGTGATAGCTAAGTCTCTACCCTTTACAGTACTCTACGAAATCCACAGTGGTTTATTATTACTGTTGCTAGCAAACCCCTGTTGATCAGTACCTCGGACTGTGGACGGTGGTCTGTCCTTCCCTGGGTGGTTGGGAAGGTACAGGTGTCTGCCCTGGCCGGAGCTGAGCTGAGCTCCTCTCACCTGGGGTGCGCACGGGCGTCAGCCGGGCGTTCGGTCCCTCATTCCGAGCGAGCCAAGGCCGTCCGCGCTCTCACCCGTCCTGCCGGACCCCACGGGCCCCGGCTTCCGGTCAGCGGGCCGGGTCCGCTCCGGTTACCGCGAAAACGCACAGCTGCTCGGCAAGAAAAGCGCCCCGGTGCCCTTCCGGCGTCGGAGCCGGGACCCAGCCGAGCACTACCGGACCCGCCGAACGCCCACCCCGGACCCTGGACCCCGGGCCCCGCGCCCCCGTACCCCGCACCCTGGACCCCGGACCACACGCCCCCGGACCCCGCTTTCCCCGACCCCGGACCCTGGACTCCGCGCCCCGGACCCCGGACCACACGCCCCTGGACCCCGCGCCCGGGACCCCGGACCCCGCGCCCCGCGCCCCGAGCCCGGAGCCGGCGCCTGCTCACCTGAGCCTCCGCGCGCTCTCCGGGTTGTGCCGCGTGGGCCGGGCGGGGCTGTGCTGGGCAGAACGCAGCCTGAGGAGGTGGAGCTCCGGGAGGCCGCGCCCCATGTGGACCAGATCTACCCGCCCCGCAGCTCTGGGAAGCAGGACCGGGGAAAGCCGGAAAGCCAGCCCAAGGAAACACTGTAACATCCCACGCAAATATTGTGTTTTTGTTTGAATATAATTAGTGAAAGTGTTGTTTTTTTTAAAAAACAGCAGTGGTTTTGTTTTGTTTTTGGGATTTCATTCCATTCTTGACCAAAGCTTCTCTGTAAGTAGGTGATTATGGAATTATCACACTAACTTAAAGGAAAGGGTGAAAGCGGTACGTAAATTGTCTGCTAGGAAAATTAAATAAAAATCCTCAATGTTAAAAAAACAAACAAACAAACAAACAAAAAAAGAAACCGACCTGGGGACGCAGGGCGGTTGGCCCGGGCGGAACTGGACCCAGCGCGGGCGCCGGAGTAGGGGAGACCCCGGCCCGACCTTTAACCTGAGGCACAGCCGCCTGCCCAACTGCGGGGCCAGGTGCCTACAACTACCAGGAGGCCTAGGACGGACAGGTGGCCGCCGTGGACAAAGAGGTGAGGGCCCTGCTGCTCTCCTGGATCACCTCAGGGGTCGGGGTTTCCGCTGCCCCGAAGCACTGTCCCAGACCTCGTCACGGTGACCGCCGTCTGCCCAGACCTATGCTCCGAGGTGGCCTTCCCTGGCCCTGCTGCACGCCCGGGCCAGCGAAGCTCCCAGCCTGCCTAGGGTCAGCCCCGCTGCTCTTACACCGCTCTTGCTCTGAGGCTCCTCTCTGTCGTTCGCTTGACTCACGGCCAACCCTGAATGGAGAGGGCTGGTTGTCTGCACCTGGCACAGCACCTGACAGGTGGGAGGTGGCACCCGATGGACACGATTCCTGGGCTGGAGAAACCTTCACAAAGATGTGCCCTCCTTCAGCCCCAGAACCACTATTTGTAAGACAGAGACATCTCAGTGCTCACCTCCTGGATCTCCTCCTCGAGTCCTTGTTATGTAGCAACTAACTGAAAACAGTGTATCCACACAACAATTTCACGCCAATGTTCCCAGGAGCATTATTTCACAAAAGCCAAAGGTGGTTACAACCCAGATGTCCCTCAGCCATTGAATGGATAAGCAGAACGCGATCTTCCATGCATACCATGAGATAAAATTCTGGTCTCAGAAGGGATGAAATAAAACACGGTGTTGCACCTATCACAGTCAACAATTGGTGATTTCCAGAAGCTGAAGAGAATCCGAGTGATTGCTACTAGCGATGGGGCTCACCTTGGCGGTGAGAGTGTTCTGAAATAAGATAGTGGCAATGCTAATTCAAAAGTCATAGTTTTGGGTAGATTTAGAACCAATTTTTGACCTTGAAATGGCAGATTTTATGATATATGAAAGATATCTCAATTTAGAACCAGTTATGTGAACACTTTATGCGGATGAATTTTATGACGCACAGATTATGTGCCACAGATTTACAAAACGTGAATACAAAAGAATATACTGGTATTAATTGAGCTGTAGAACATTTCTTTAAATTCCATCATCTCTCTGTTCTAGTCCTAAGTAAATTCACAAATTTTTAGAAAATGTTTGGCTCAGTCATCTTATTTCGGCTTCCCCATCCCCAAAGCATGTCATGGTACACATACACACTTAGGGAAACTTTCCCAGCATCCTTTGAAACAGCCACCATTATTAAAAAGAATTTTTACAAGTCTTAATAAATTAACTGCTGTGAAGAAGTTTTGCTGATATAATTTCCCAAAATCAATAATACTGAGATAGGGAGACTTTGTGGATAGATTTGACCTGTTCCTCTGAAGCCTTATAAATAATTTTTCTCACAGAGAAGGAAGCTAGAGGGACATGCATAGGAAGCCTTCAAAACAGAAACCATACCCGCTTCCTAAGGCTACCTGTGGCAGACCCCAGGATCTGAAAATGTCCCTGGCTGAAAGCTGGAGGGGGGGCCGGCCAAAAAATTCAGCGGATTAAAGCACCTGCAAACAGGCGCAGGGGCTAGGAGTTTGATGCCCAGGCCTGCCGTGCTGTGCACCTGTGGGTCGTGCTGAGACTGCAGTTGAGGCTAGGCATGGTGGAGCATGCCTGTAATCCCAGCTCTTAGGAGGCTATAAACAGGTGGATCACTACAAGTCCTATCTAGTAGTGAGACCCTGAATACCCTGTAAACTCTTCCATCAAATACACAAAAAAAAAAAAAAAATTTAAAGCCTGCTTCAGTGATGGTGAGCCATTTAGAGTTTTCAAATAAACAGCTTGCTATGACATGTGACATAGGTTTGCCACCACTGGACATCAACTTGCTCAAGCATGTAGCTAGAGGTCATAGAATTAGAATTCAAATCTAGGAAACCAACATTTGCCCCACTGTGTTGTGCATGGCACTG